TTAAGGCTATTACAAATATTTTCAATATTGAAGCCACACTTCCCCATACTATATGAAGGTAGGGTCTAATTTGATTGTTTAGAGCCTCGGCTCTATACAAACCACCCATTTATATTTGGAAAAAGTTTATATAGAGATGATGCTCTAAACAATCCAATTAGAGCCCACATTAAAATTTAACTAGAAGAGGTTGTTTTGATGCTCAAATTTCCTCAAATTGATCATCTAGACATCAAGATGTATGGACACGAGAAAAAAATAGATTTCAAGTTTTGGAAATAAATAGTGTATCTTGTAATGCAATTTTCACCATCAATTTTCAAGATTTTCATAGATCTGCTTGATCTACACTACTTTTGAAGCTTTAAATTTTATAATGAAAGATGAAAATATATTTTAAGGCTATGACAAAGATTTCCAGTATTGAAACCATATTTTTCGATACTATTTGAAGGTACATTTTACTTTGATTGTTTAGAGCCTCGGCTCTATACAAACCACACTCTTTATATTTTCATATCTGAATTTAATTACTCATCAACAGGTAGTACAGAAATTATAAATGATAAAAAAAGTTATATTAGGTAAGGGTATATCAGTCATTCTTCAAATCAAGGACACAGGATTTATAGGGGTCAGTAGTTCTACATGAGCCTTTCGTGTCTACATCTGTGATCCTCTAGGCTCCTTTCCTCTAACTTCAAACAAAAAATCATTAAAAACTACAGGGGTAATTGGTCACCCATTTTCTTAGTAATCCTACCAAAAGGTTTCTCGTGAACTTAAATTCCACATGTTTTTTGGTGCTGGAATCACTATTCGAGGACTTGGCCGAGTCCGAGTTTACTCGGCTGAATAACTTGGCCTCAGCCGGAGCAAGTTTTCGGGACAACTCGCCCCGGTTAAGGATTATATAAAAAAGTCATTGGTTTTGTTGAAAAATCTTCAGAAATTGTCTAATTTGTATGGTTTTTATAGTGATTTGCGAGCTTTTATTATTGCATGTAATTTTTATTTATTTTTTGAAATATTTTAAAATATAAATCAAAATTTTCAGTAACTATCTTTTATATACTTGGGAAATTTACATACGTACCGGTTTCTTAAACCGTTAAGAGGCTTCAAAATAGGTTGTTATTATTTGAAAGGAAGCGTCGCTCAAATTTTTTTATTTTTTTGTCAAATTTTCCCACGGTCTGATATAACGTTTGGACCTCATTTTCATTTTTTGAAGATTTAAGGCAGTCCAATGTTTCTAAAGACCGCAGTTAGACCTCATTTTTTGAAGCTTTAAGGCAATCCAATGGTTCTATATTTAAACCTTACTTTTTTGGTGGTCTGACATTTCTAACATTTGACTAGGAACAAACTTGATAAAAACATAAACATCTAGAGAAAAAGACCTCCACATAAATATCACATATTTTTAGACCATTATGTAATAACGGTAAAATAAAATGGTAGGGGCATAATTTTCCCTTTATACTTGGACTTTTGTAGGCCTTTAATTCAATTTTGTCACTTATTTTTATGGACTTCTAATTATTTTGATTACTTATTTTATTTTTTCCTATTTTTACTTAATTTCAACATATTTCTTCCATTTTGTTTTTGAAATTTTTAGGCTATTTTTGACATGCACATGGCTCAGACTCGGCCGAGTTACTTCGCTCAGGTCAGGCCTGATTCTGAGTCTTGGGCCTAGTTTGCAGTCATTGGCTCTATTTATAAAACATTGGGTGGAATACTAGAAAATGTGGGTGAGCAAACCATCCCCTTCATTGCTCTATCCTGTCCGTACTCCGTATATTGCTGTCTAATAGGCCCCATCCAATAATTCCGGCACAATTAAACTCCCAACCGATCCTGTCTACTATTTACACTTCCTCGACCCCATGCTTTTATGTGCACCAAAATTTAAAGTGGTGTATATATAGGAGGCATGCTCCCCTTTGTTTAAGCCATCCCAATACTGAAAACCCTAGCTCATTTCCTCTTGCTATGGCCTCCATTGCTCTATCTGCACTTGTTTTCTTGCTTTCTTTCTCCTCTTCCCACCTTGCTTCAGCCCATGTCGTTGAAGACCAAATCTCTTGCCTGGATTGCACCAAGCATCAAGCTCATGGTTCATTTACTTGGCACACACGACTCCTAAATTTTCAATCTCTCTCTCTCCTTCTCCCCCCTCCTCTCTCTCCCTCTCTCTCTCTCTTCTCCTCTCTCTCCTCTCTCTCCTCTCTCTCTCTCTCCACACACATACATATATAACACATACAGCACACACATATACACACGTACACACATTTGTGTGCGTGTGTTCTAGGCTACACTATTTCAGTTATTTTTTGAATTTTATCTCTCTTTGTTGAAATGGGGTCCCTCTCTCTCTCTCTCTCCCTTGCATATTTTTGTCGCATGAGTTTCCTAATGTTCTTGTAAATAGAATGAACTCCTTTCAAGCCCATAAACTCCACACAAGTGTGTGTTTGTGTCCACATGCATTTGCCATGAAGTGTTCTTGTAAAGCAATGGAAACTCTCTCTCCCTCTCTTGGTTTTTTTGTAGAGAGGAGGTCCATTTATGTGGCATTAAAATCTAACCAATTTGTCAATTCTACTTTTTTGTTTTTTTTGTTTTTAAATGTTAAATTGAGATTTAGAAAGAATGGAACTCTAGGCATCATGGCGACCCACCACCCCTGAACACCTCTGCCTAGAGCTTATATATAATATATAATGGCTCTAATATGTAGCGGCATTTTTTTTCAGGTGTTGGACTGGTCATCAAATGCGACAGTGAGAAGCCAATCCTAGCGGTGACAGACCGCACCGGTTCTTTCAAAGCCGAAATCACAACAAGCAAAACCAGTGCTCCTCTTGAAGACACTTGCTATGCGAGCCTTCTCGGTCCCCGCAACAAGCTATGCTCATTCAAGAATAACCAGGCTTCAAAGTTTGTGAAAAGTGCTAAATATCACAAAGATCCATCATCTTCATACTACGCACTCTTCACTCCATTGAGCTTCTCCTCCTCTGACTGTGTCTCAATGGCTAACAGAAAGATAAAGCCTGATTTCAAGGTAGAAGACACAAAGCAAGATGGTAGCAAGTCTTCCAAAACTATTGATCTTCCTGTGCCAAGAGAATGGGGTTTGGCTCCTACTAGCTACTATTTTTATCCTATTATACCAATTGGAATACCATAAGTTTTAAGTGTAGGTCTTCTAGACTACTGTAAAAATATCTATAGATCAAATGCTTGTATTGCATGGGAAGCCTAATGATCTATAGTTTGCCAACTTGAGAGAATAATTAGGTTTTTAATTGGCTAAGTGTGATGCCTATAGATGGGTTTTATGCAAGTTGGTGGTGTTTTAAAGTGTGTTGGTATTGATTATATATTTCATATGTTTGTTGTGATAATATCAAAAGGAGTGTTTGAATATGGAGTCCAAAGACCATGGGACACTATCATGTCATATACTAAATTCAGCTGTCCTTGTTTGTTCATCTTATTTACTCCTTGTATAGACTTATTGCTTTCCTTTTTTTATTGCATTCGGTAGAGCTGGTGTGAATTGAATTGTCCCTCACATGCAAGATACCAAACGGATGAAATAGTTTTCAGGCTTAAGTTAACTGTTAGATGCAGTGAAGGTTGCACAATTATTTTAGAGAGATTAAAAACTGGAAGTACCTTAGGCCTCACTTAGGCCATACTTAAAACCTGGAGTGATTTACTTACGGACCCAAAAACTTTGTCCAAAAATATGAAATGATCCGATTTTAGGCGAAAATTACAAGGAAGGTTGGTCAACCGGTGGTTTTTTATTTTTCAAAAATTGCCCTTCGGTCCGAGGTTTCATGTTAGTCCTAGTTAAAAAAAACACTAAATAAATAAAATCGATAAAGCACTTACCCAGATCTATCATTAAATCACACGAGGGCTTGAAGTTCTATACTATATCCTATAGAGCAAATCATCTAGTGATAAGCAACCTTGAGAGTTATTTTAGGTGAATCTCATTCACCTTATATATCTCTTTTTTATCATTTTCTCTATTTTTTTAAGAGGGGTTAACCTCCTTTTAAAGAGAGCATATTTATGTTGTAACTCTCACATTCATGGCCTATAGGAGTTGAAATCTAAGTGTCAAGCTAATTGTGATTAATAAGTTGTCACTAAACTGTTAATCTTATGTAATGAGCTAAACCTGTCATTAGTCTACTAATGACTAGCATAATAGGATGCCATCCAAGCATTCCTACAATTTGATAAAATACATTTAGAAATTAAATAAACTTTGTATATATATAATATAAAAACAAATTCTTATAAGGAATCCAAATACACGATTGGGTTTTCCCTCAAGTGACATTGGGTTTTCCCTCCAGTGTAACATCCTATTAAAGCTAAGAAATGGATCGAAGTATATGACATTGCCTCATATTAACCAAATGGGATTTCACATATACTTCAATATGGCTTTTGTACTATTATTGAAAAAATAAATTTATGGCAGAAAAATGCCTAATAGGTCACATTTCCAACATTTACATCCTCAGACTGTATATTAATTTTGTTTTTTTTTTAGTTTTTCATTAGTAGGGCAGTGCCCCAAGCTTTAAGAGCATTGCCCAAGCGGTCTGCGTTTAGACTCCTCAAATCGCCCTCTGGATTGAACAAGCCTCAGTTCCTGAGCGGTCTGAGGTCCCCACCTTCGGACCGCTCTTTCTTTCTTATTTTTTGTAAAAAACAACGGACCAAGGTCCCCATCCTAAGAACATATCTTATTTCTTATTTTTTGAGAAAAACAATGGTCCAAGGATGGGGACATCAGACCTCTCTAGTAGGGTTTTGCTGTGCGGTCAAACGATTTTAAACTCGGACTGCCTGAGCACTGCTCCAAAATCTTTGGCCATTGCCCTACTTCTGTCCATCCTCAGATCGAAGGATAGTTTTGAAAAAAATAAAAAGCTCAAGTTAACCGACCTTGTAATTTTTGCCTATAATCTGATCATTTCGTATTTTAAATAATTATTTCGAGACCGTATGTAATTTACTTTTAAACCTGAGCCATTTTACCTGCATGAAGAGAGAGAGAGAGATATATCTTTTTTGAATGCCAAATAAGTCATCTCTCACAAGTCATGAGACCAGGTCCTACATTTTACTCCCTCAAAAAAACTGTCCACAAGGAGATAAAATATATAAAAGGAATATAATTTCCTTTATATTACATGAATAAAAGCACATGAGGCCACAAATACCCAAACATAACTTTGGCTATATGTGATAAAGATGCACCTACCACTTTGTGATATCCCAAATTGGAAAGTAGAAAAGGAAACATAAATGATGAGAGAACGGCATTTTTAGCACAATTTTAGCTGTGAGATGTCCATAACAATGGACAGAACGTGTCATTCCTCCACTCCAAGTCCATCAGATTTTCTTATTGACATCTCACGGCTCAAAATGGTGCAACAAATGTGAGCGAAAAGTAAATGCTCTCATCATATACAATCCCACTGTATAAATAACCATAATAGTTCTATGGTGAAACTTAAATTGCAGCACAGTATTCGCAAACTCGGCCAGTTCAACTTGGAATTGGGCATTGGCTGATCCGGTTTTGGTGGTCCAAATAGGTATTTTTAAAAAATTTTAAAAAATATATATAAAATTCTAAAAAATAAGAAATTTGTTTGTATTATATTTTTGAATATCGTTTAACATTTTGATAAAGATTAGAAAGTGTTTTGGTCATAAATACTTAATTTTTAATTTTTCCATCTTTTTAAAAAATTTCAAAAATACCCCTAAGATCAATTTTTTTTTTAAAATCCTTTTTTTTTTTACTACTTTTCAACTACATTAGAGGTTCTCTGTTTAATCATGTTTAAGATATATTTTTTGTATTTTTTAATACTTTTTAAACTGGCCGGGACTTGCCTAGTTAGTCCGATTGAACCAGCCGATTTACAGGTTAATTGGACCAGGCCCTTAGCCGGTTTCTGATGCCCGTTCGATTTTTCAAACACTGTTGCCGCTTAAAAACATAGTCTCGGCCTCCCAAAAGTTACAAGGCACTGCGAAAACTGCACCAGAGAGAGAGAGAGAGAGAGCTCAAATCACGCATGGCATATGGAGAAATGTAAAAATACTAACTATCGTAATTGACATTGTAAGAGAGAGAAAACAAACACCCTTGAGCCCTTAACAACATTGGCTGAGATGTCTTGCATCAAGTCATAAAAATAAATCATTCATAAAACATTAGTAGGTAAATATATTCTATATTTTCAAGTCGGAGTTAAAGGTGGACACATGAGAAATATATTCTAGAATAGGACCCTTGTTACAAGCGAGTCCTTAAGGGTGAATCCATTTGCTGTAATTGAAAATTGATTGGAAAAGGGGAAGGTTTGGAAATAAAACTTGAACCAAAACCTTGGAAAAAGCCACTTGATCATCCTTAACCCATTTTGGCTTAATACGTCTGGAATCGTTACCTAAATAAATATAACATTTTATAATCTAAATATAAAATTAAAAATGATCCAAATTATGCTAGTTTTCTTCTTATAAATTATATAAAAAATCCCATGACCTTTCACATGTATCAATAAACACACATATCCAATCTACTGTTGAAATATTATAGATAAAGTACTAAACAATTTTCAAGGTTTTAAAAAACGGTCCGTCTGGCACCTAGGTACCCGCTTAGACGGCCTCAACAAAAAACGCACGCCTTGAACCAGACGGCTTTACACAGGCAGTTGTACCTGGGTGGGCGCCCAGGGCCGTGAGGAGTTTTCGATTTTTAAATTAGCCCAAAAGGGCAAAGGTTTGACCACAAGTTTGTATAAAAATGTTATGGGGTTTATTTTTTAACCCAAAAGTAAGTAAGAAAAAAAAACAAAAAAAACCCTCAATCTCCAAACTTATTGCACCAAAGGGCACGAACCTAGGTGTCCGCCTAGGTACTGCGCCCTGGGCGTCAGGCAGGCTGTGTTTTTTGATACCTTGATAATTTCAGAAAGGATCATCTGTTCCAAAGTAAAAACTATTCTCCTAATTTTAAAATAGTCCACGGTTTTATGTTAGATCTACACGGGTTTTTATTAGATTTAGATCATGATCCGAGCCAGTTTTTTCTGCACTCAGCCCCTTAAAGTCCATAAATAAGGTCCTTTTACACAAGTATATATCTTCTATATAATAGAGAAAGTATAGAAACCTTTTCCTTTAAACCATCCAAAATCTCAAAGGCTTCATGAAGCCTCTAAAAATTAAGAGAAAGCTTATAAAACTCCTAAAGATCTCCAAAAGAGCCTCTTAAAATTAAGATTGCTCCTTCAAAGAACCTTTAGAAATTAACAGCGGTTTTGAAACTCTAAGAGATATTTGGAATAATTGTAGAAGTCTTTAAAGAGTTGGAGAAAGCTCCTAAAGGTTTGAGAAGATGATAGATCTAGAATCTTTTTAACCCTAGATCCTTTCACCATCTATTCAACATTTCAAGACATTCAACATTCAAGCATTAAGAGAAGACCAATACATTCTTTTTAGGTTGGAACTAAACTAAAATATACAATCCGTCACTTTGATCTGGGGTCGCAATTGGAGGACCGATATATAATCCAACAATTTCATTCTATGCATCCGCTCCATGTTCTGGGTTCGTGGGCTTGGCTAGGTAATTCTCTTCTCTTTTATTTTTCTTTCTTTTCCTCTTATCAGTCTTATAAAACCAAAATTCATGCATATTTGACCGAGGCAGAGATATAAATAGTAGAGCTAAAATAAAAAATAAAAGTATTTTTCTTTTGGTAAATCAGTGGAGGAAAAGGGCCCTGCCCGTTTTTCATTAATAAAGATAAAAAAATACATGTCACATAGTTACAACCCTGTAGTAGGGTAATTGTGCCAAATCACGAAGTAAAGAGATAAATAAAATCCGGTAGTCTAGAACGCCAATTGGTTGCATTAGAAAAGGTTGAGGCCTTCTTGACAAGTGCATCAACCACTACATTGACTTCTCAATATATGCGGGAAATGGACCACAAACGATCTGTAAGTCTATATCTGCAACTGCTATTGTGTGAAGAGACAAAGGGGCTCTACGATGATCTCAAATAAAATTAACTGTTAAATAAGAATCGCTTTCAATCTACAAAGGGAAACAGTCAGGCTGAATGGTTGGCAAAAATTTCTACATAATTGCCGGATGCTATACCAAAAGGTGTGGCAAAAGCAACAATAAAATCACCATCCCCATTTTTTATGACACCATCATCGACTGCTAGCATTGGGTTTTGAAAAGAAGCCCTATCAGCATTCAACTTAAAATGGTTTGGACGAAGAAAATACCATGTAATCGGGATGTGGGACTTAGATTTATATTAACGTCATGTGATATGTAAATTGCCAATTATTGTTTTGTTTGATATACAGAGGGCCCAGGCTTTGGCATTTGCTAACTCATAAATATGAGAGGCGATCTTTCTTATCAATTGTTCTTTGCTTGATACCTTCATCTGAAAAATTCTCCGATTGTACTCCTCCATAAAAACCAAAATGTAATGAAAAAGAGAAACAAATGGAGAAAAGAAATGACGACAGAAACAAATGGATACTAGAAATAAGAGGAATAAATTTAAACCTTAAGGGTGAATATCTTCTTTAATGGAGAATTACTTTTTAATAAAAGTAGTTACCTTTAAATAAAATTAGTACAAAAATTGTTTATGCTTGTAAAAGTTTTTAAATTTTCATTTTACTTTCATTATGGTTGTCACCTTTTACTTCTTTTAGCTTATTTATAATCTTATTATATTTATTTTAGTTCATAATTTTTAAATAGTATTTCTTTTAATGTTCTTAGGTGAGATCTAGCTGGTGAGTAATTAAGAAAGAACATAAGATTTTGACACTTTGTAAATCGTAATTTGACCAGACTTAGATTTACTTAATATTTTCAATACTTAGGTTTTTTTACTTTGAACATGCATTTAAGATGGGAGATTTCTTATCTACCTTCTCCAATGTGCATATAGACATAAATGTTATGATAATCAAATTAAAACATGAAAATTAATCAAGAAAATGACAAAGATAGAGAAAGTGTACCTCTTTGGAGTCGTTGCGATGAAACATCGGGGCATGTGGAAACAAAATCAAATTGAATAAGATTATACGTGTAGAGGCTGATTCCCAATATAATGATATGGAATTGGTTTGAAGTTAATTATGAGACATTTTGAATGAGGTTTAATTGGATTAGACCTATGGCTTCACAGAGGGTATGACCATTTATAGAGCATAATAGTAGACCATGATCTGTGTGGCCGATACTAATTAGTTGGGAAAAGATTTTGACGATAATGATGAAATGTGTAAGAAAGAAAGATAATAAAGGGGAATCCATATGAGTATAAGATATATAAAGGTTGATATGTAGAGGAAGTAGGGTCTTTGAGCTGAAAATAGGATGAAAGCTAATGAAATTAGGGCCTCAATATTCATTAGCTAGAAGTAATTAGAGTTTCTAGAGCATGTTTGTTTCATGGAAGCTGCATCTTCCAGACGCCGTGGCTTCCACAAACTATAGCACTCCCATATTTGTTTTGTAGGAGTGGAAGTGCTATTTGGAAGCCCCTGCTTCCAGCGGCAAAAAAAATCATCAATTGATTGGTTTTTGGAGGCCACCATTTCATGGTAACCAATAGAAGCCGCAGCTTCCAAACTCTGTGAAAGGACACAACAAATGTACCTTAGGATTTGGTGCCTAATTGGGGCAATTAGTGTTGAATGTGGTGAGTGAGATACGCCTAATTGGGGGTGATTGGAACTTAATTAGGGTTTTCTAAGCTAAAGTTTGAGAAAATCTTAGGAATGAAAAAAAAAAGGCTTTGGGATTCACATTAGGGTTGTGGATTTCCAGTGTGGGTTCTATAATAGGGTATTTATAGTTTAAAATTAATATGATTTTGGACGAACTACCAACATTTTATGATCAAATCAGGCTGAATTTGAGCACCAACTGATGCAGAAAAGGTTCTACATGGCTCTAGACACATTCCCAAGATGGTGCAGGCTTGAATACACAAAAAATTAGGTCCAAACATAGTGTTGAAGGTGTGGCAGTTGGGGGTGGCAATGGACCCAGACCCGACATTGGACCCAAGGAGTAGACCCAATCTAGGTTCAAGTATGGGTTAAAAAAATTGGAGCCGGCGGATTGGGTCCATGTCCAAATCTTAGATCCAAACACTATTTGGGTTTGGGTCCGAGTCCAATTGGGTCTGGTCGAGGTATGGGTCTGGTAATATTTTTTCAGGTCCCAATATATGAATTATATTTAAATATAATTAAATACATAGATACTTTTTAATTTTTGAGGTAAGGTCTGGGCTCCACACTATATTTTCGGGTCTAGGTCGTTATGGTGCCAACCCGACCCAACCCGTTGCCACCCCTATGTGGTACACCTTGTCTTGGATGAATGAACTTTCTCAAATTAAGTGATTGGTATAAAAGAGGGTCATTACTTTTAAATAATATATACTAGGGGTGGCAATGGATCTAGACCCGAACCAGGTCCAGGTATGGGTCCAAAAATGGGATCCGATGGGTCGGGTCTGGGTCTAGGTCCAAATAATATACAAATAATATATATATATTCATATATATATATATATATATATATATATATATGAAAGTTTATATAAGATGTCTTCTCGCATCACAACAACATTTTCAAAGGATTTTAGAGGGTACACCGTAATTCTACATTTTAAGATATGTACGTTATGTAAAAATTTTCCTTCTAAATTTATTTTGAACTTATTTTTTCATTTTCTAAGGAAATATACATTTCTTAAATTATAATTTTTACATTTTTTAAAATCAATTTGGCATTTTCAAATTTTATATGATTTACAATTTGGTTGATGCCTCTATGCATGAAACAAGCTATAGTCTAACTCTCAATCGATATTACAAATACGAAATTTCTTAGAACATGTGCCTCATCGTATTGCAGTAGAGCCGTTGGTTTTATTTAATTTAGCCCTAGTTTTGGGATTGGTCCTCACAAAGTATGACACTCACCTTAACAATAGAGTTCTAATATTAAATAAGGTTTCCTTGCATATCTTTTGCCCTCAATTCTATTTCACACTTAAAAGTTTTCATGCATGCGAGGGACTAAGATATGTTTTGATATTTTTATTTTCTTTAAGTATTGTTAAGTAAAATAAAAAGTACGATTAATTAAATTTAAAATTATGAACTTTCTTGTTTCACCATTTTCCCATTTTAAAAGCAAAAATCAAAATATAACTTATACAATAGATATAGAGTCGTAAAAACCACTTAGAGTCGTAATAAATAAAACCCTAAATTTTATTTTCACATAGGATGAAATTATGTGAATTCCTTTATTTTTTTTATATTTTCAGTAAGGAATATGACACTTTATTATCTTTTATTTTGAATTATGAATCTTATTTCTTAAATAATTTGTTTCTATTTAAATTTCAAATTTGGAAATTGGTGAGTAGAATTCTAATAACCGCATAACGTCTACCAATATACAATTTACATTTTTGAGGTGATGCTTCATAGAATCCAAAATTTTATTTTTCTATATACTATTTTGACATTAAATTATGTCCATTTTTCTATTAAACTTGCACTAGCAAAAAATATATATAAAAATATTTTCAATAAAATAAAATGACCAAAATACTTTTGAAATTTTTAAGGGGTATTTTGGTTATTATATTTTATAGAAAATTTATTTTTAATATTTTTTATAGGTGCGCCCCAATGAGAAGATAGCACCTATCAAATTTCATATTCATAAAAGTTGTATAAAAAAAACTAAAAATAAAATACTTTGAGACGTTGGATCTAAGATCAAACAATAAATAGTTCTTTTGATCAAAATTGGACGGCTGTATGGTAAGGGAGATATAACTTCTATGCTGTAGAGAAAATGTAGAAACCTTTCCCATTTAAAATAGAGTAATGATCCTATGAGACGTTCTCATACCCATGTATATATGACTCAAATAGTCACTATTAAATTTGACATAAATATCTAGAAAAGTTATCACATAGGTATAGAACTTGATTTAAAAGTTGTCACATGAGAGAGAAACTTGATTTTTTTTTAAAATCTGTGTCAAATTTAATGAAAATCCTTCGAGTTTTACACGAGATGATCTTGTAAGATATTTTTAAAATATGTGGACAAAAGTAGTTGTGACTTCGCTGAATGATCCATTTATATATTTTTCCTTTTTTTTTAAATGCATCTTCACGGACCAATTTTGTCTCCGTAAAACGTTTGCACGTGTGTTGCAAGCCTGCATACTATATAGTCCCCAAGGCATCACGCTAAGGGCACGAAAGAAATATCCCGGACTTCTCGTTCTGTGGGGGGTTATTTTCGTCATTTTTCGTCGACCCAAGTTATTTAACGGGAAAAGTGAACAAAAGTAGGCAGCTTCGTCTTGTGGGAAGAAGGTTCTCAAGGTCGGCCTCTTTCTCCTCAATTTCTCTGTATTTTTCTTAATCTTAGTAAAATAATCAACTTTACATTCGATTATGAAAAAAATGCCAATTTTTCTTGTAATTCAGTTTTTTTTTTTACCTTTGTGGAGATTTGCGGGTGATTTATATCGGGAACATCGATCTTCTTGATGTGTTCCTTTTTACAAATTAGGGTTTCTTTATTGCTACATGGTTTCCAGGGCTACGTTTCCCTTAATTCCTTTATTTTTCATATCTTTTTGATGGATTAATCTATTTGTCTTTCCAGGTTTTCGTGTTTGGGCTTTGATTTTATTGGTTTTGGATACTTCTTAGTTCATGGTTCTTTTAAGTTCTATTTATTATTGACCTGTGTTAATTACCTTATAATAAATGGCTTTCATGGGGATTTTTTTTAGGATTGATCAATCAATTGTGCTTGCCATCTGTTTCTGAAATTTGACTATTAGATTTCTCTTGGCATGCACTTATCAGTCTCAGGAATTACGTTGTACTATTGGTGTGCACTTGTGTAATTCAATTGCCATAATGGTTATTATATTCACTTGAAATTAGTATTTAAATGCTGCTTAATTAAAAATCAAATAGCCACACCGAGCACCTATGTTGTGTGCCAACATTTGACTTCAAATTTTGTTGAGTATTGTTTGAATCGTAATTTTGACTGCATAGTTATTTACTTTTAATCCTGACCACCTGAGCTTGGACACGGGCAGTTAATTTTCCAATTTGATTCTTGTGAATGGTCACATCTAATGGTTGCTATGGAAAATTGACATTTTTGTTGGTGGCTGTATGTTTTATTTGTGCTCTGATGGCTGGCCTTTGATCATTGTTGTGCATTGTGGGTGTGAGGATTGACTATATTATTTTTTGTGTGTTTAACAGATTGTTATTTTCCATTTATGTCCTTCGAATCGATGGTGTATTGACCTGGAAATAATAATTTTATTTATTTGTTTCTAGTTTTATCTTCTTAGTTCATCCCTTATTGTGAATTTGTAAATATTTTCTCATATTTCACAATTAATTGGTCTCATTACCTTCCTTTGGGTTTAATAGGTGCTCAAGAAGTTCACTAATAGGTTTTCAAAAAAGAAAAAAGACTCTCTCTTGATCGGAGCAAAATGTGGGCGGCTTCTTGCCTTGCCTCGTGCTGTGCAGCTTGTGCATGCGAGGCTTGCAGGTCGGTGGTTGGAGGGATTAGCCGACGTTCAGCACGAATAGCGTATTGTGGTCTCTTTGCACTGTCTCTGATTGTGTCATGGATATTGAGAGAAGTTGCCGCTCCTTTAATGGAGAAGCTTCCATGTAAGTATGGCACTCTGATTTATTTATAGAAAAATTCTTTTATGATTTGGAAGTCCTTGGAAGCTTTTGTGGATATGTCGAATTTTGGATGTGTGTCTTTAGAATTTAGATGGTTTATGATTACCAAAAGCATTTGTGGAATGGTTATGAACATTGTTCTCTGTCTCTCTAATTGTGTTGTAACTAGAATGTGGTCTTCTTTCAGTTTTGGAGTGTGAAAATTTGTTGCCAAAGATGCATTATCATTAAAAAGAAGTTATATATTCATTTGGTTTCTAATTATGATCGAATTTCTCACCTAAATCTTTACTTGTTATTCACGTGTTTAATGGGTTTTTACCTTATATTGGTATTATATTAGGTTATAATTGAGAGAAATTACTCTTAAGCATAGAATTGTCTATAGGGACACTGTATAGATGAATATTTTGCCTATTGCAAACCCTTGTCATTATGTAGCATAAAAGGCAAATTTAAGTATAATTTGTTTATAATTAACTGTTCACTGAAGCATCAATAAAAGCTATATCAGTGAAACCTAGTGTTTTAGAGCCCATTAAACTGGCCATCTGGGAAACTGGTATGGATTGGTGAATTGCCAATCCGGATTGGCAATAGGACTAATTCTCTAGTGTGAGAATCGGTAGACCAAAAAAAAAAAAAAGACTGAAAAAATAAAAAATAAAAAAATCATAAAGGAAATGTGGGAACTAGGCAATCCAGTCGGTCCGGATTGCCCGGTTCCCTGACAGACCCCGTCGGTTCCATGGGACCCTGAACAAATCTTGGTTCCAACCGAGAACCGTGTCAGTCATCACCGAAACTTGATCCGGATCGGGCAATTTCGATCCGGATCACCAGTTTTTAGAAACCTGGTCGCACTAATGGGTTGGACAAATTAAGACACATATGAAGCTTTTGTCACACAAATTAAAGATATTTATCATAGTAAATGAACTCTCCACCTCCTCATCTTGAGCTGTGGGCTATAAGATCTAGATGAAATTTATTGCTAGTTATATTGATGACTTCCGTAATATCAGTGATCCTCCATATATATGATGAATCTTGGAACTCTTAATAATGAAATAACGTCGTGCACTGAGAATCTGTTTGCACAAAATTTTCTCAAAAAGGGGCGATCAGTTCTCAAAATTTCCTCAAATCATGGTTTGTTGTTCTTAAGTTGGATATATTTTAATCCCTAGTGAGCAAAAATTGATTCAGAGATTAGTGGTCTAAGGAAACTCAAATGAAACTGATCGAACAACATATGAAGATATTTCCAGTATTGTTGCTAGCAATTTGAAATATGGAAAAGATGATGGGAAGTATGATGTCCTTGTTTAAAGAGATGGTGTCTAGTTACAAGAAGGATAAAGATCTTTTTCTAAGGCATGCTATTGGAACCATTCAAAATCTTAGTTCACATCAAGTTTTAAATAATCGCCGATCCGGATCATAATTGACCGATCCGGATCGGGTATCATCCCACCCGAACCGGTTCCCATGATATATCGGGCACCAGCTGTGTCCCCCCTGGAATTGGCGATTCCAGGGGGGAACCCAATTTTCGAGGCTTTCACGTGATGAAACTTGCTTTTGGATCTTTTTGATCGACTTTCCCACCTTTTTCAGTCTACTATTGGTGAGAAATCATTGAGAAATGGCTATAAAAACAGTGTTTTCGATTACACTCATCTGCGAATTTCTCCCCTTGATTTGGCGATCGAAAAATGCGGTTTTTTGCTGGTTTTGAAAAAATCTGCTTCTTTGGAAGTTTCAACTTCAATTTCAATCCAAATTGCTGTTTTTTGGTTTGATTTGAGGATCCTCTAATCTCCATAATATTATTTCTCCGATTTGTTGAATAGACTATGATAATGTATTGATTTTGCATCAAAAGCCTAGGGTTCATGTGTTCTTCATAGTCAACCAAAATCGAAGAGAACTGTGCTTATTTGAGTCGATTTCTATCAAATTTCAGTGGGTTTTCTGATCCATACAGCCTTAATTCTAACGTAAATCAGGCAAATTTATTTTTTTCATTTCATGTATCTTTTGCTACAAAAACTATGAAAATTCTCTTTTTTACATAATATTTCTACCTATCACTGGAAAGTATAAGTACATATCCGAACAAAAATATATGTTCTGGATGTCTTCAAGAAAAAAAAAATGTTCTAGCTGTTGGTTGGCAAAGAAAAACTAGATCTAGTTGACATGAACTCCAGATTGATGTAGATCTAGAGTATTTTGAAGACATCAAACCAAATGTGTAGTTTTACGGTCAAAACTTAAATGTGTAGTTTTACGGTCAAAACTTAGGTTTTATTCTTGATAATGCTCTCTTTGACGTACTTCGTTATGTTTCATTTTTTACTTGCCATCGCTCTCTGATATAGTTCATTAGGTTTTCACTTTTTCTTCCAAACTCTGATTGTTCCTGCAGTAACTTGTTTCAGTTCTATATGGTGTGCTGTGGAGCTTTATCCTCCTTTGCCACTTATACCATGAATTATTCCCCGTGAACTAGATCATTGCCTGCTAATGATATGGGGCCTTTGAGCTTCTTCATGCCTTGTATCTGATAGCTGGATCTGGGCCTCTTTGTGCCTTGTACCTGATACTTGACATATTGGAGCTTGAGAATCTAATATGAGTCTTAAATTTGTAAGGTTGCCGATAAGTTCTGGACCAATGCCTGAGGATGCAAGCTGATTTTTTTCTATGGAATGTGCAGGGATTAATCATTTTGCCCATACTCCCGATAGAGAGTGGTTTCAAACCGATGCTGTATTGCGTGTGAGCTTGGGTAACTTCCTATTTTTCACTCTGCTTGCTGTGATAATGATTGGGGTGAAGAACCAGAAAGATCCAAGAGACAGCCTGCATCATGGTGGATGGATGGTTAAAATTGTTACCTGGTGCATAGTGGTGATTTTGATGTTTTTCCTCTCTAATGGAATTGTCGAATTCTACGGTAAGTGATTTTTCTATATGCAACCTTGATGATTATACCTGTTGAGACATCCATTGAAAACTATCAATTCTAGTTTGTGAGTATATTTCATTTTTAGTTTTTGTATTGAGAAATTTGACTTCATTGATACCCCGTACTAATCCCTCAGTATCTGATTAAATTCAGACTTGAAAAAAAACTTCATTTGCTAAGTTCTCCCGCACCAATGATGTTTTTGAATATTATATTTGTCCCTTTTTTCTTCATTGTTTGTCTAGAACAGCATCCATGTTTCACTTGTGGAGATGTTCAAGGTCAACTACAATCAACAGTCCCTTTTATCTGATTACTTGACAGTAGTTTTCTAAAAGGAAGTTTATGTTGTTCATCTTATTCGTTTAGTTGTCATAGATTTGTTGATTTGAAGAGTAAGGGTTTTTTCTATAAACATGATTGATTTTTTTGGAGTAAGAAGCTGACAATATATTGCTTGCTGGCAGAGGCAATATCCAAATTCGGTTCAGGATTGTTTCTCCTTGTTCAAGTTGTTCTCTTGTTGGATTTTGTGCATGCATGGAATGAAAACTGGGTTGAAAAAGATGAACAGTTCTGGTAGGTTCCTGCTCTATTGTCAGTTCTTCCTAGAAAGATTATGTAAATAACTAATTGATAGTCACAGTTTTAATTATAATTTCATAGGATGGGACTTTGTTCATCAACTCCTAGATTCTACTTCTCCCATGAATTCCATTTCTTATTTATTTTCTCTCATCTCTTCTACATGCAGGTATATTGCATTGTTTGTTGTGTCACTTGTTTGTTACATAGGGACATTTTCGTTCGGTGGGCTCCTCTTTCATTGGTTCACTCCTTCAGGACATGATTGTGGGCTCAACACATTTTTCCTGGTCACAACTTTGATTCTTGTTTTTGTTTTTGCAGCTATTGCGCTACATCCCAAGGTACATGTTTCCATGATTATGGAAAATTGAAATCCATTGGAAGTTGTTGTCAGTATATGTATCTTTTAGCTGGTTTTATTTTTGTATGTCCATTTTATTATGTCTTTTAAGATTGTCCAGACTCCAGGAAAGCAAAGTTTTAAACGCATATGAAGGTTTATTTCGTATGTGATAATGGAAGCAGTGGAGACTGTATTCAAGTACTAGATTTTGCCTTAGTTCTTTATGCCATTACCTCCTGTGTCCCAGTTAACTTAGAATTAACTTTGAAGTTTCACATCAATGATGCCTCCTAATATATTTTAGCTGGTTTTGTTTTGTATAACCAATTTGTTATGTATCTAGATAGGCATAGAAGTGCTTATGCATCAATACGGTAATTCCTTGCTGGAATGGCCATGAAAAGTTCCTTTCTGGAATGGTATTGATCATTTTGATTTCTATGTGTGTGTACACATTTCTTCCTTGCTGGATTTATATTTTTGCCATGTATGCTTGTATACACATTAACACATTACTTGTTTCATCAATATTTTTCACACTAGAAAGATGTACCGACAGAAACAAGAAACTTGAATTATGGTATTGTAACAATGGTCCAAAAAAAAGAAATATTTAGATTGACTGTTAAAAGATGGAACTATGTTTCTGTTGTATAAAAGATGGAAGAATGTACAGTACATATGCTTGAAAGCAGTCACATCATTTTTGAGGAAACAAATGAAGCATGACAAGAAAAAAGAAGTCTAAAGATCTGGCAAAATCTGGTCTCTTGACATTATCTATTCATTAGGTTTGTCAGATCTATGGTTATGATAATCCAAAAAGGGAACTCAGGAACTGCCTTTATTTATTTTTGACTGGCTTCTCTAATATTTTGGCAAATACCATGTCCTTATTTCATGGAAATTAAAATACATTACCCACGGTTATGGATAGAGAGAGAGAGAGAGAGAAATACCATGATCACAATGGTTATGGATAGAGAGAGAGAGAGAGATTGGGAGCCACCATTGTGGTCTCATTGCGTTCCAGCCAGTCCACTCTACATCACCCTCCATCATTGGATTTTGATGACCTTGAAGGACTATACAATCATGTAGTCTAATGGATTATAGTTTATTGTGAAAAATGTATACAGTTCATTTTCACATAGTAAATGTTTTCTTTGCTGAAAATTATTACGGGAATTCAACAGGTGAATGGTAGCCTCCTGCCTGCTTCAGTAATATCAGTATACTGCACTTACCTGTGCTATAGTGCTCTATCTAGTGAGCCAAGGGATTATGAGTGCAATGGCCTTCACCATCACTCCAAAGCTGTGTCTACAGGCACCCTCACATTGGGTCTTCTTACTACAGTTCTCTCTGTTGTCTATTCGGCTGTTCGTGCTGGCTCTTCGACTACTCTGTTGTCTCCCCCAAGCTCACCACGTGCAGGTCGGTTATGGTTTCTTCTATTACATGAAACCCCATGTGGTACCACCATGTTTGACGTTATTGGGTTTTAAGCCTGTATATAATTCTGGGATCTATATTTTTTTAATTATTAAAAGGAAAAAATGGAAGAAATTTTGAATTTTTATTTTGATTTACTTTTTTAGGTCAATGAAGTAGAAATTTTGAATTTTTGCTTGTGTGTATAGGGCCTATAGTAACATGCTTGAGCAATATACTGGAATGAAAAGCGATGCATATTGATCTGTAGAAACGCATGCAACGAGACATGTGCAGGGACATGAACATGTATTCATGCATGTATATTTGCACTTTTACTACATAAGTTTCTTTTGTCCATAAACGTGAGACTCAAAATTTGCAACTCTATCCTCATGAATCTTATTCGTATTGAACAAAGTGATAGAAGAATGTTTGCTATGCCCGTGATATCCAATATTTGTGTGTGTAGAGAGAGAGAGAGAGAGAGAGAGTTTACAATACCCTTGACATCCAATTTGTGTGTGTAGAGAGAACGGGAGGAGGGGGGGGAGTTTACAATATACTCTTGAATATTTGTGTGTGGAAAGAGAGAGTTACCATGCACTTGACATCCAATTTGTGTGTGGCCACAGAGAGAGAGGAGCTAACAGATGGTTGCCAATGTGATTCAGGTTCAGAGAAGCCTTTGCTTTCGTTCGACAAATTAGAGAAACAAGAAGACAAGAAGAAGCATGAGGCCAAGCCTGTCTCATACTCTTACTCTTTCTTCCACCTCATCTTCTCTCTAGCCAGCATGTACTCAGCTATGCTTCTGACTGGTTGGTCGAGCTCGGTTGGTGAGAGTGGCCAGCTTGTCGATGTTGGGTGGCCCTCTGTGTGGGTCCGGATCATCACTCAGTGGGCCACCGCTGGTCTCTTTGTGTGGTCCCTAATTGCTCCGCATCTTTTCCCAGAAAGGGAGTTCTAATTGCCTTCACCACGACTTCAATAAATGGTTTGTGAAAGACTATACAAATTGTCGATAATCCTCCCTTTCCATGACTGGTTTGTGAAATAGTTTGGGAAACTCTCTATATTATGTGTTGTAAAGTGAATGGGGTATTGGATTTGGAGGGCTGGGATTTTATAGGTGTGCAAGTGCTTATTTGATATTGGCCTTCTGAGTAGATTGGAAAAGACATGAAAGTGAGATGGGTTTGTTCTCCTTGTTGAAGTTGTGACTTGATTATAATATTTTTGCTGGCATATTGTTGGGATTGATATATTATTTGCCAATTGTCTAACTTGAAAATAAACAAAAACAACAGGAAAAATCATTTGCGAAGTGGCTAACTTCCTGCTTCCCCGACTTGGGTCTGGCATTGTGTGCCTTCATTTGTGGACAGACATGCTTGGTGGAGAGAGAGAGAGAGAGAGATGCAGGTAAGAAGCATGAATACAAGGAGCATGTCGTCATGAGTGGGCCAAAAGTTCCGAGTTTTCTTGTAATCAGCATATTTTTAGGCCTCCTTGACGTCTAGGCTAAATTCCAATTCAGATTGTAGAATTTCCAAATCCTAGTATCTGATGAGGGATAATGTGCTCCTTTTTACACGAACGGGTAAGTTCCCCGCGTTGAAATGTTTAGAGCAATATATTGTATGGGACAAACATAAAGAAGCATGCTTTCTTTTTAGTTTGTTTGAGATCTATGTATTCTTTTCACTGGTTACATGGTTTTTGGCAACATATAGGGAACTCGCTAAAAGTTTTGTAACCCCGTAATTTAGTATACAACACCAACAAATGACATGGTTAAAAAAGGAGACGAGAAATTTGTCAAACTACATTTGAGATTTGTAATTATTTAACATTTTAGCCATATGATTTGATCTAATTTGAAACAGCCTATCATTCTTTTGATCAAATTTCCAATAGTCTATCAAATGATACATCAAAATGGGTTTTGAAATTGATCAAAACACACCTAGGCTAAAATTTGAATAAGAGGTAAAATGTTAAATAATTAAAATATTAGCTGAAAAATAATATGACCCCTAAAGCTAGCTGTTTTTAAACTTGATAAAGCTTAAGAGGCATCCACATACACTAAGAAAAGACAAGAGAATGCACTGGCACCTATGGGAGCCACAAGATCCCAATGTTTGCTTAAAACCAAAAGGCATATCGAGCTCTGGACCTTGGGAAGTGTACATGTTGATACTAGAAATACATGGTACGTACAATCAATCACACTGATAAGGTCCCTCCTTTTTTTTTTTTTTTATATTTGAATGGAAGAGATAAGAATTTTATCCACAGAATCCACAATCCGTATTTCTTAGATGTGAACATCTACACATAAGAACATCCTGGCCGTTGACACCTGAATGGACAGATTGAGATTGGACCACACGACTGAGGTACAAACGGGCACGTAGGAGAGAGAGAGGCCCACGCAAAGCACAATCATATTTGTATTGGGCAAGCTTTTTTATGTTTTTCCTACATCATAAAACTTATATATTTTTCCTTATCCAACCGTTCATTCTGAATGGTGGGTTAAGATTGCCCCAATCACAATGTCACGTCTCAACATTATTTTATTTTTAATTCTTTTTTCTATAAACTATTTTGACACCAAAATTTGGACGTCCAATCCTATGTTAAACTCGCACAAGCGAAAAATAAAAAAATAATATTTCCAATAAAATAAAATGATCAAAATACTCTTGAAAGTTTTAAGAGGTATTTTGGTTATTATATTTTATCGAAAATTATTTTTAATATTTTTTTATAGATGCGCCGCAATGAGAAGATGACACATATCAAATTTCATATTCATACAATTTGTATAAAAAAAACTAAAAATAAAATACTTTGAAACATCGGATCTAAAAGAGGCTCAAATAGAGAGAGGCAGAGATAAATTTCTTATTCATACAATTTCTATAAAAAAAACTAAAAATAAAATACTTTGAAACGTCGGATTTAAAAGAGGCTCAAATAGTGAGAGACAGAGATAGAGAACCATTAAAAGAGGCTCAAAGAGAGGGAGGGCCATTAAAAGAGGCTCAAATAGAGAGAGAGTTCAGAGAACCACTAAAAGAGACTTAAAGAGAGAGAGGGGGTTAGGTGGATAAAGGCGTGGGATTAGAGAAGGAGATATGGAGGGGGTTAGGCGGATAAAGTCGTGGGATTATAGAAGGAGATATGGTACGTGTATAGGGTCATGACCATAAAAAAACCAACCTTTTTGCAACTCGCCCTGATCTGATAACTACGCACAAAAGTATCAATAATAATATTTGTTTGTTGTTTTGTCCAGAGTCCATAAGCCAAGGGCTGAGCCAACTACCATTCACTCCGACTAATCTAAACGCGCCACATTTCACACCACCGGGCTACTCTCGAGAGTCTCGCTACTTCCAAATATTTATGGAAAAAGTTTATTTATGAATGCAATCTTATAATGTAGAACTACGGATGCACCTCAAAATCCAATGGAAAATGTAGTTTTAATGTTGAAAAACCCTCTGATTGATCATCTCGACATCGAGATGTATGAATATAAAAAATAAAAAGATTTTAAGTCTAAAAAATAGTCCATTTTATAACATATTATTTATACCATCCATTTTCAAGATTTCCATATGTTTATAGATCTATTTGATTTTAACCATTTTTTAAATTTAAAATTTTATAATTAGATATAAAAATAGATTTTGAGATAATCCTAACGACATTTTTACATCAAAATTGCATACCATGATAAAGTTTAAAGGTGCACCTTACCTCTACAGGTTCGGATGCATCCGTATGCCAACTGCACCCAATATTTATTTGCCGAAATTTCTTTCATTTTACTTGAATGTTTAATTGGACCAACTTCCAATACGCCAAATTTGGGCTTGTTTGGTTCCCTGGAAATGAGTATGGGTCTTGGGACTCATTTCTTTATGTATTTCGGATGCAGTTTGAAGACGGGATTTCAGCCTCCACATGAATATCTGAATCCTCGTTTTGAGACCTGAATGTGGAGATGAGTATTCCACCAAAATTATGACATAACTAATATATTAATGTGGAGTAAAACTACCAAGCACCGGCGGCTAAAATAAATAATAATATAGAATTCCAGCTGTCAGATCTTCATCAGATGGTTCAAATTATGTATCACTATTTGAATTTTAATTTTTGTTATAAATCAGATTAATATGAAATTTTGGGTGTATATACTTAATACTATTGCGCACCATATAAAAATATATAAAAAAAATACTTAAGAATTTAAAATAAATAAATTACCCTGTCATTTTTCAGGGATATTTTGGTCATTTTATATTTTGTAAAATACTTATTTTATATTTGTTTTCGTGTGCTCCAAATTTTTTACTACACATAGTCAAAATTTCATCACCGTCCGATTTCTAAAAAAAAAGATTAAAATTCAAATAGTGTTATATATATTGAACCACCCGATGAAGATTTAACGACTGAATTTCCAATTATATTACTACCTTATAACTGCCAAGTGTTCGTTAGCTTTTTCCAATAATATATATTATAGATATAATGAGACCATTTACCTTTGCTACAAGGTGATCACAATAAATCTTGACTATTAGATGTGAAATTGGATGGCTGCATTTATTTCATTGATCAAGCTTAAAAGAAATATTCTCAAACTTTGTGACGCACTCAAGCTATTAGATTTCACATCAGATGGTTATAAGTAATTGTGACCTCCCTATTCTAAAAGTAAATGTCTCGTTGTATACAATCCCTTAGTTTATTAATTATATGACTATACAATAATTATAAGGATAATATATGTTAATATAAATATATAATAATTAATATATATTAAATTATATACAATAATAATATATATAATGTTATATCAATAACATTTTATTAATATTGATACAATCCAGACAATGGAAAAACATCTTCCAAGTCTCGTATCATATGACACTCAAATTTCAGGAGATGCCAATTCCAGATAATACTATTTCCAGGAGAAGCATCTCCCCAAGATACCCATTTCCAAGAAAACAAACGGGGACTTGAGCGAAAACTAACACTAACAATTTTGCGTGAATGAGTGCATGATATGGGCACACGCCTCGATGGACAGCCACAAATCGTGATAAAAAATTAGAAAATAAAAGGTTGAAATGAGGACATGTCAACGTGGAAAAAGTAAAGCCTCACCTTAAACTCTTTGAAAATTATAGTTATGGTATAAAAAATCAAACCCATTATCTCAACCTTGATCATTATAATTGTAAAAAATGTTAGGAATTTACCCTAAAATAATGTATATCATAACATTAGACCATGTATTTTTAAGTGTTCACCGATATATAAGACTTATACTATTATTTGATAGACAAATTTCACAATAAGTAGAAATAAAGTTTTGAGCCAACTTAGGGATTTTTTATGCCTAAAATGTTTTATGCCTTAGGCCTTATAGAAATTAAAGTTTATATGGCGACCTCCATTTTCAACCCTCCCAATCTTGATATGATGGTTGGGAGTCAAAACTATATTACTATTTATTGTAGGTGCAGCCTATGGGTAGCTTTATATATGTATCTACAATTGACAACTCTTCAAAAGAAAAAGATTAATATTAAAATGAGTTGTGAAGGGTTAATTTATTAACAATGTAAATTCTTTTTTCTAAAAAGTTATGTTCTATAGTATTTTACTCATCTAATAAGGGTATATGTGTAAATATTATTAAAAGACAATTGATATTTTTGTCATCTTTTTAAAGAGTAAAGTTAAAATTTTTACTTAATGATAAGATTATTATATAAATAAAATTCCAGCACACAAAATTCCAAAATACTATGTATTTTTGTAAAATTTCAAATTTATCATTGCTTAATGAAAAGTTACCCATTAAAATATTTTGTTAAACAAAAATAAATTATTTTTTTGAAAAATACAATCCATCACAATCCCTTGTAACATTAATCTTTGTCATTTTTTTAAAAAAATTCAAAATATAGTTATCTCAAAAAATGTGACGCACTTTAAGTTGTTGGATTCAACTTAAAGTTGCAATGCGTATTATTTTTTATTTCTAATTATATTTTTAAGTATAATTATTTCTAATTATAAAATTTTGGACTAAAAATGGTTCAAATTAAATAGATCAATAAATATATAAAAATCTTAAAAATAGATAGCCTAAATAATGTGTTGCAATTCGTATGACTCGAAATTTTTTTTTTATATCTTAATGTCAAGATGATCAATCAAAGGTTTTTC